ATTTCAAGGGGGGTTTGTTTTGATTTTCGAATGGCTCTTATGGGTTGTGTATGAGGTTGGAGGATTTGAACTAAACCATTCAATGGACATTCATAATAATGTGCAAGTAGGTATTACATATATAAGTTGCATGTGTTTAATGGTTTGCATTGCTTGCTGTTTTTGCGTAATGGTTGAATCTGTGCTTAGGTTGGTTTAAAACCCAGGTTGTGTGAGTTTATCGGTTTAATTGGGGGAATGAAAAATATAAAGTTGGCCTTTCATTGAAGATGTGACATCCCACATCGTCCAGGGCAGTGATCCTTATATGTATATTCTACCTAGCACGAGGCCTTTTGGGAGCTCACTGGCTTCGGGTTCCGTGGGAACTCCGAAGTTAAGCGAGTAGCGCACGAGAGCATTCCTAGGATGGATGACCCATCGGGAAGTTCTGGTGTGAGTTCCCAGAAACAAAACCGTGAGGGTGTGGTCGGAGCCTAAAGCGGACAATATCGTGCTACGGTGGTGGAACGGGTCCGGAAAGTGATCTGCCTCGGACTGGAATGTGACAGAAGATGCTCAAACAATTGGAGTTTGTTTTATTAGAAAGATGGTTAAACATTCTGTTTTATTGGGAACATGCACACATAGAATTCATCTAAAAGAAGGTTTAGATTCTTTGAGGCTTTTATCTGGAATTATGTCAATTTGGAATAAAGGAAAGAGATAAAACACAAACAAAGGAATTTGATTTGGGGTTTAATACTAAGATTGGGTCAATCAACATTTTATGTTTTCAAGTCGAAGTCATTCATTTTCGACAGGAAGTTTTCATTAGAATTGGGAAGAAATTCTGATGAACTACTTAATCTCACAAATTTGTAAAGCTAATCAAAAGTAGATTAACATTATATAATTTGGTTTGAAACTCGGGTTTGAATCTGTGCTTAGGTTGGTTTGAAACTCAGGTTGTGTGAATTAGTTTATCAGTTTAATTGGGGGAATGAAAACGAATGAAACACAATGAGGGTTTAGAAAAGTGAAACCCTCAATGTGTTTCATTCATTTTTGACGAGAAGTTTTCATTGTGGGAAATTCTAATGAACTATTTAATTGTGAAAAATTCTAATGAACTACTTAATCTCTAGAAATTCTAATGAACTACTGAATCTCACAAATCTGTAAAGCTAATGGAAAGTAGTTTAACAGTAATGGAAACAGAGAATTTGAGAGATTCAATTTGTAAAGCTACTTTGAAAATGCGTTTTCTAGATTAATCCAATTGAAAATGCATTACGTAATTAGAACCCGCTGCAACACGTGGGCCATTTTTCTAGTGAGAGCAAAAACAAATATAATTAGGACTCAGTATAAATCAAATAAACAGCGAGGGACGTGTGAAAATGTGAGGACAAAGTTCCACATTGGTAAAGGACCAAACTATGCAAGAGATTATATGAAGTTAAACTACTCCCTATATTATCAATTGATTTTAAAATAGAACCTCAACTTTCTTCCTACTTTGAAAATCCTTTTTCACTCGAAAAATTAAACAATTTACAAAAAGTAAAACAATGTACAAAAAGTGAACTTCAACCACCACCACTCCATTACATGAGAGCGAAAAACAAATATAATCAGGAAATAAACAGTCATGGCCCTAGGACGGGATCCTCGGGGTGTAACTTTTGTTTCTATTAGTTGTATTAATACCTTGCTTTTACTCAATGCTACTCATTGTTTTTAATTTATGCAGACACTTTCCATTTCAGAGGGAGCTCCGCCTTGTTGCAATTCAGTGACCAACATAAAATAAAACAACTTATTCTTGGTTGGATAGCCACATTCTTCCCCCGTGTGTGTGTGTGCGCGTGTGCGTGTATCTTGGTCAATGCATCAGCATCCCTCATATCTCTCACACTTGCCAAATTGGCTTTAAATTGATATTCATGGATTTCGAGATTGGATTGGGTAGAATATATATATTGCTTGGATCGATTATGTAATGTCAAGAATTGAAAGAAAATTGAAGATTTTAAGCTTGAACCACAATCTGATATGCTAATGCCACTTATACCTTAACAGCCAAATTACACCAGATGTATTCGGTAGTTTCTCCTACAAGCGATATTTTACTTTAAAGTAATATAAATTGAGGAGAGAAGGATTTGACCTCGGTGTATATGAGGAGTATTTTATTTTATTTTATTTATGTGGGGAGTATATCCGCTATAGTTCGGCAACAGAAATGAAAATCCATACCAGCATAACTCTTCTACTTCGTTGTTCGTATCCTTTCAACTTCCCACTCTTTGTTAGATTCTTACTTCTAGGCAGTCGGTTTCTCTACAGGCAACGTACTCCCACCACGGGGCTTATTTATTGATAACTATATCATTTTTAAATCTGTGGAATTTTGTTAGAGATGAGAAATGAGTGATGAAGAAAGAAGTTGAGGAAGTAGGTGAGAAAATATTTTTACACTTCAAAGTTAAGTTTAGAATATGTCAATAATAAGGTCTAATAGTACTGTTCTTAATTATAAGTGAGAGGTCTTAAGTTCGATTCTCATCAACAGCAGATTCGAACCAAATTATCGACTAGCCAAATGTGAGGTTTAGCCCACTCCCTCACTCTTTAGTGTAAATAATATCGAATATCTTAAAAAAAAAAGTTAGATTTAGAAAATGTAACTGGAAAATATTAAGTTATATACACCTTAAATTTTTTTGTTTGTTTGATGCATTCTCCTTCATTTGTCTTCCTTCCCTCCCTCACCTGAAAATATAACTGGAAGGTTAACTACCCTTCTAATACAAATGGTAGTAAACCTTGATCTATTTGACTTATGCCCTTATTATACTATCTGCTTTCAACTTTTTAAAGTAACCTGAATATCACCTCAACCAAATGTAAAATAACTACTTGTCCCTTTACTTATTATTAACGTATCTTCACCGTACAAACATCATAATCGAAACCGTTTATTATCTTTATTATCAAAGATCCTGCACACAAAAAAATTATTCAATTTGGAAATCTTTTAACCATTCATATGCATAAAACAAATAAACAGTTAATCATGAAGATTCTACTTGTTACTAAAACCGTTGATTGACTTTACATGAATGGATGACTAAAAAATCTCTGAATTGAAGAGTTTTTTGTAGATATGATTATGATAAAGAGAATGAACGATTCCAATTATAATGTTCATACTGTGGAGATACATTAATCGTAAGTGGAGGGACAAGTAAGTTCTCCAACGAGGCGAACACAAGCATTATCCTAAAAACTTTATGGCAACACTGGTGTTCCCCTTTGGGGGATGAGCTCATGCTCCCACTTACAAATAAAGCATCTGCTCCAAATTCACGAATTTGCGAATGTGTTCGCTCACGTAAACATACATCCATTATCAAGATCAAATACAACTCACATATGTGAATTTACCTAAAAGATGCAACCGAATATTCCGAGAACGAATTAACTCCAAATTCTCCTCTGGGTAAGGCTCAGGATACAAATATCTGCTCCAAATATACGGGATTGAACAAACAGCAGACTAAAGATAAAGTACAACCCACACACAATGGCCTTGGAAGTGCGTATAAAATCTTAGTTTAATGATTAATTTCTCAATCTACATATCTAGAAACTATCATAAACTTGACCTCTCATTGCTTAAAACAAAGATGAAACAGGGAACAAAAAAACCTCATCTCAAGAGCTTTCTCTTCATCATAAATAAAATTTGATAGCTTCCTCATCAAGTCTTTTATGTCGGCTCCCGCTAGAGCATTGCTTATCTGTTATAATATATATGAAATAATATGTCAGTCAAATACATGCTTTCGCAAAGATTATGTTGTGTTTGTGCAAATCTAAGTTTTCAAATAGGTTAATGCTGCTAAATATATCCCAGCATAAAGAAACCGACAAATACAACAGTTTGGCCAAATAATTATTGGTCTGAGCCATATGACATTGATGCTCCATCCAAAACTGTACCTAATACATGGCGGGTAAGAAGAAGATAGGGAATACATCCATGCGGCTAGCGGCCAAATTGATGTTTTCTGGTGGCTTAAGAGAAATCAGAACATAAGGACAGGACTAAATTGCCTTACCCACTATGAGGATCTTCAAGTTTCGTCTTCACCTCTTCAGGGAGATTGGCTAATCTAATAGACGAAACGAAGTCTCCCATGACCACTGCTATATCAAACTATCCTCCTAAATTATACGAATTGCAGTTAAAATGAACATAAAAATCCTCTTTAGAGGGTTATTGGAATTTCAAACATGCAGCGTGTTATGTATGAATCGATTTATATAGAGAAGACAATTAAATTCATAATTTACAGAGAGGGGAGAAGATTACCAGAAAATTGAAGCATTTTCCTGAGAAACAGAGGGAGAGTGTTTGATAATTTGAAGAACAGAGAGCAAACAAATAAATACAAGGCTAGAAAATCCCCAAATCGATTAAAAAAACACAAGACCATGCTGCCTAACCTAACCAAACAGTACAAAAAGATTTGTAAAATAATTTTGGCCTCTCAATCACCACATGCCAGCAGATATAAATGCAAGAAATAATAAAAAATTGATTTTTTATCAGAATCCTGGACTCAGGAGGACCATGCTCGGGGCCTGTTCACCACCCCCACCCTTCCCTCTCTGTTTCTCTCCCCGAAATCATGACGACCCATTCTCTCTCTCTCACTGTCACCCTCCCAGTCACCGAATCAAACATTGGGGCACTAGCATCCTAACCTCTCCCACTCTCTCTCTCTCTCTCTCTCTCTCTCACTCTCTCTCACTCTCTCTCTCTCCCGGACACCCCAACGCAGAATGACCAAAAGACCCATGCCTTTTTCAATCCATCCGTTGGATTTGGAATGCAGAGAGGGCAAAAGGGCATGCGGCCTTTCAGGCCTTGAACCTCTTCAATGGGCTGTGGCAGCCACTGCACAAACCGACACCAAATCTCACGTTGGGCCCAAAAAACCCAAAATTATACGTGTTTCATTATTTTGCCCAATAATATATTACAAACGCACGGGTCATTTCGGAGACCCGCGGTAACAACTTAACATCTATGAATTGTAAAGGATAACAAAATGCAACAGACTCAACCCCATAACAACTTAAACAACAACTAAACATGGAGATCAAATTTACAAGGACTAAAAAGCACTTTATCCCCTCCTCCTCCTCCTGCGTCTTGGCTGCCGCCTCCTGCTGAATTTCTTGACAAACCATTCACGCTTCTTGTTTGCCAGTGTATTCCCAGCAACCACCCCTACTATTAGACCACTGACAACTCCTGGCAGAACCACATACCAATCTAGTCCAATTTCGAACCCAGAGTCTTCATCTTCTTCCACGGCTGATGGTGGTGGCGGCGTTTCACATTTCCTTGACAAAGGCTTTCCACACAAACCCGAGTTTCCTTCGTATGAATCGTTTTCGAATGTGTCAAATTGTTTGCCCACTGGTATTGGCCCCCAAAGAAGATTATGAGACACATCCCAATATGCAAGGAAAGTGAGTTGCGCCAGATTACTGGGGATCCTTCCTGAGAGCTGGTTGTGGGAGAGATCTAATGACTCGAGCATATTCAAGTTCCCCAACGATGAGGGGATTTGACCGGTGAGACCGTTATTCGAAAGGTTAAGCAAAACAAGGCCTCTTAGATTCCCAATAACACCTGCTGGAATCTCTCCGTCAAATTTATTACCTGATAGATCTATCAGTTTGAGAAGATTTGGGGTCATTTCATATTTCAACTCAACACCTTTGCCAAAGATTATGAGCGGGAATACACTTTCAAAGTCGATTAAATCTCCATGTGAGTTGATGGACGAGAAGGTCTCAAAGTACGTGTGCTTGCTTTTGCCAACAAATTTCATGGAATTCCAGTTCTCAAAGTAGTTTGAGGGCAATATACCAGAAAAGTCGTTGTTAGACAAATCGATTATGCAGAGCTTGGGGAACTCATGGGTTGTTGCAGGGTTACCAATCACGCCATGAAATCCATTAGACCGCAAAATGAGAGCCCATAAGACTGGAAGTGCCCCCAACCAAGATGGGAAGATGTCGCTGATGTGATTGTTTGCAATGTTGAGAAACACCAACTGAGTGCAATTGGCAATTGATCTTGGTAGCTTTCCCCCTAACTGGTTATAACTTAAATCAACCGATTCCAAACTACTATTTACAGTTGAACATAACGAAGGAAGACCACCGTGAAAGGAATTGTTATGCAGACTCAGTACTCCAAGATTACTGGAGTTCCCCAAACACTGCGGAAGCTTGCCACTCAAGTTATTGTTGGACAAATCAAGAATATGCAGATCATTCAAGTTGCAGAATGACGGTGATACTTCTCCACTATAACAATTGTCTGCAACTTCATAAATTACGATGGATTGTGGAGGATTTGGCAGTGATCCTTGTAACTTGTTAAGGCTGAGAGAAATGATCAACAGATTCTGCCACGGAAAAGTGCCTGGATCTTGCTCAAACCCTGTTAAAGAGTTGTTGGCAAGATTGAGATTCAACATTGTTTCTCTAGTTGCATTCCACAACCACTTCGGTATTTGGCCCCGAATGTTGTTGTTGGGAAGGCCGAGGCTGGTCAACTCGTATTGATCATGTAAAAATTCTGGAAACTCTGTCAAGTTGCACGAATCCAGCATTAGAACCTGAAGCTTAGGAAAAGCAGCGCTCATATTGGTTTTGAAATTCAGAGATAACTTAATACGTGATAAGCGAAGAACCTCTAAAAATTTGAGCTTAGAAAGTTGATCAACTTCAACCAATCCACTCAAGTTGTTAAGGGAAAGGTCAAGGAATTGAAGATTTCGTAATCGGAAGAACGATTGAGGAATTTCTCCTTGTAATTTGTTATCCCAGAGGTCTAGATGGCTTAGTTGGGACAAGTTCATGAGCCAAGAAGGGATTGGACCAGTCATTTCATTACTCTCCATGGATAGATACGAGAGTTGCGTCAGGTTAGCCAGAAAAGTCGGGAACTCTCCCCTTCTAACAAGATCAAGGCCTAAGTGGGAAAGGTTTGTTAGCTTTCCAACCCAAAACCAGGGATAAGAAGGTAATTGACTTGTGGAAAAGTTTTCGTAAGAGTCGTAAAATGCGGAAATGTCAAGGTAACTGAGTTGGGTAAGGTTTTTGAGTGAGGATGGAAGACTAGGATAAAAGGTACAGAGTGAGAGTTCTAGCACATTTAAGGAATGAAGGTTTCCGATAGAAGAGGGCAATTGACCATAGAAATTCGTGGTCGAAACATCCAATGTCTTGAAGGAATTGGTCTTGTTGAAGTTAGGAAAATAACCGGTTAGGTCATAGTTTTCAAACAGATAAAGAACTTGTAAGCTTGGTAGGTGGAAAACACCAACTGGGAATTCCCCATACAACCCACATTGAGCGAGTCTGAGGGATATGAGAGAAGATGCATTGACCAAAACATCAGGCAGAGTGGAATATATGTCTACCAAATCAAGATGAAGTTGTTCAATGTTCTTGGTCACATTTTGAACTAGGCTTATCAAGTTGGTCTTGGTCAGTTTCAAAATGTTTTTACGGTCGGGAAACTTCTGACTGGTTGACAGATCAAGGGTTGAGAGCTTGGATAGCATTGAAATTTCTGATGGAATTTCGCCAGAAAAAAAAGACTTTGAAAGGTTGAGATACGTTAGGCTCGCAAGATCATGCCCCAATCTTGATGGCATTTGGGAAAAATTGAAGTTGTTATCTGAGAGGTCAAGACTCTGCAAGTGAACAAGTTGAAAGAGGCTGCTGCTGGAGTTGATAGAACCATAGAGACAGCTACTTCTTAGGTCAAGGCCAATAACATGGCCAGAGACCTCATCACACTCGACACCATCCCACGAACAACAGTCACTTGTCTGATTCTGAGCATCTCCTTCTGGTGTCCAAGATGCAACCTTTGGATAAGCAGAAGGAAGTGCAGAAGCTGACTCGTCTATCGTGAAGCTGTCGTTGAATTGCAACAAGGCAGAGCGCTCATCGTCGTGACAAATTGTCTGCGTCTGCACAGAGAGAGAAAATTGAGTAGCAATGATTAATAGCAGAGTAAAACAACGTACAGAAATGAACTTCGATCGGCGCGATTCCATTCCCATGACAACTTATGTTTTCTGATTATGGAAGTGTTTATGGCTTTCGCATAATTACGGATGCAGAAATCAACGTCCTTTTATAGACTACGCCCACTCCCATTTCCCCTTAGTGTAAATAATATCGTTTGTTAAAAAAAAAAAAAAAAAAAAAAAACAACTGATTGAATCACATTATTGCTAGCTCATTGTGAGGCTAAGTCCACCCTCTCTACCTTAATGTATAATATCATTTGTTCAAAAAAAAAAAAAAATCATTTGACAACTAATTTAATTACATTATTATCCGCGTACGAAAGACTTTTTTTATAACTGGCATTACAGCCTCTTAAGATGCAAATTGCATTATCCCAACTTGAAACCTGTCACTCTTGTTCCTTAAAGACTTAAAAAGTAAACTGTATGACTTTTTCACTATTTTAGGTCATGTGTCAATGAGTACCCCACCATTTAGACAACTATTTTTCTAATTATTACATTTTTTTATGTTAATTTGAAATGAATGTCTCACTCCATAACTTCAAGACCGTTCTTCAAATCAACGTAATACATCAATCAGGATCCTCATATATATAAATAGTTGATTTTTCAAACTTGTCGAAATTTGATTAGTTCAACTTTCTCATCTTTTGAAATTTCTATGGAAGAATAATCCTTTGGATGCCAAAAATCTTTTGGTGTAGCTAACTGATATGACAATCTTCATTCCTAACTTATATTGTATGCGTGTTGACTGTTAGGTATCCCATATCCATGAAGTTTCTTGATTAGGAAAACTAATGAAAAGGGTTTGAAAACTTTGAGTTTTAATCAAAATGACAAAAGGGTGTCGTGAGTGAATAGTACTAGGAGTGAATTTTAGAGTAAAATTGTCATTTTTCGTTAAAGTGAACAATACCGGGAGTGTTTCATTTAAACTCCCTTCTTGATTCACAAAGCACCCACGCACATCCAACTACAACCAAACTATTGTGTTTAGTTTATGATTCACTAGTCTTCATGCACATGCTCACGAGCGTGCATAATGCATTTTTTGAATCACAGCATGCTACGCATGACTTACATGTTTTAAATGTATTTATATGCGTAAATTGACAAAAGAAAAGTCAAATATTTGAAGTAAATGAATAATCTTAGATCATGCTAGAAGAAACTTCTCATAAATCAATTAAAGCAGCTGAATCCACATAATAAAATCGGTCTTTATTGAATTTATATTAAGAATAGAGAAAATAATATTTAATAAACAACTGATTGAATAACATTATTGCTAGCACATTGTGAGGCTAAGCCCACCCCCTCTCCCTTAGTGTAGATAATATCGTTTGTTCAAAAATAATAATAATTTGACAACTAATTTAATTACATTATTATTCGCATGCAAAAGACTTTTTTTATAACCAACATTACAACCTTTTAAGATGTTTTGAACGTGTTTAAAAATAAGAAAATAATATTTAATAAACAACTGATTGAAGTTTTTTATAAACCAAATTGCCTTGATAATGGAGTGGCGGTGATAGAAGTTTTTTATTTATTTATTTATTTTTTGGCAAATTATTTAATGGTTTATTTTTAGTTACGACTTTGGAACTCGATTTCATCTCACTTTGCTTCATATAATTCAAAAGTAGCAACTTTATTCCCTGAAACTCAAAAGTCACTCCACTTTGCCCCCTCGAACTCGATTTTGATTCCATTTACCTCCTGAAACTTGAAAGTCGTTTCGATAAAACTCAAAATTCGCTCCACGTTGTCTTAGATCTGTTAATTTCTTATGTGGTTGATTTGTGTGCACTAGGCTAATCAATTTCATTTATATATTTTTCATCTCTTTAATTTCTTTTAAACATAATATCGTCTGATTGTTGAATATATGTTAACGTATAGTGGAAATTTATAATCAAATTTATTGCACATGTGGCATAGACTTATTGGGTGTTGGATCCCACATATGTTTTAGAAGGCATCCTATAAGTTTAAAAGGAAGAAATAGTCCACAAGTCAAAGTGGAATGAATTCTGAGTTTCAGATGGTAAAATGCAAGTTTTTAGTTACAATGGGCAAAACGAGATCAAAATAAAGTTTTAGGAGGCATAGTTAAAAATGAGCTTATTTAATTTTGCTATTTCTCGATGTTACTCAATTGTTTTTTCTTTGTATAGATATAGACACTTTGCCACGATAATGAAAAAAGTTATTATTTTTCAAATTTCATCATTCATCGAGTTGAGCAAAAATATGGTTCAAGAGTATAAGTCTTAATTAATAGTGGGACAAACACTAATCCCTTGACGAGAATGTTTGTGATGATAGTCAAGGGCGTGTAATTTGGTTCAAGCCTTAAAACTGGTACAAAACAAAGGTAAATAATTATTAATGTTATTGAGGAGAATGTTTGTGGTGACAGTCAAAGGTGTGTAATTTGGTTCCAACAAAGACTTGAAGCCTGAAAAGTGGGAGAAACGAAAGGTAGATGGATTAGCATTTTAGCAATATGAATTAATGGAAAAGTATGAGTGGAACATGAGTTCAGCTTGATAAACACCAAAGAAATTAATGGAAGAGTCCATGCATTATGCATACGACTAGAAGGGAGATGGAAGAGGAGGGAAAAATCAAATGTACTTTCAACAAATTTTGTTCAATATAGATCGTTTATTTGGTCAATAAGATCCAAATGGTTTATACATCCCTTCCAAGGGGCACAGCTCGATAGATTGCCTTTCTTACTTTAAAAATCTTTCTTCACTTGTAAAATATTTTAAGTTCGACTAACATGAATAACGTTGATTCTCCACAATTATAGGAGGGAAATGCTAAGGAGACTCTCTCAAAAAATGGGACTTTTAATAAACTCTCTATCACCTCACAGTTTAATCAATTCTTGTGCCAACATTATTAAACATTGTGCTAAAAATATAAGGTGGCAGACAGTTCATGAAGAACCATAGACTTCCCTTTAAACATAAAACAAAATTGCCATGGTAATGGAGTGGCAATGGTCAAAATTTACTTTTTGTATATTGTTTAATTTTGCTGTTACTCGATGCTACTCAATTATTTTTCCTTGTACGGACTCAGAAACTTCCCCCCGATGACGAAAAAAGTTGTCATTTTTCAAAATTTCATCATTCATCGAGAAAATATGATTCAAGACTATTAAGACTTAATTAATCAGTAGGACTAACACTCTCAAGGGATTAGTGTTTGTCGCTATAGTCAAGGGCGTATAATTTGGTTCAAGACTTTACCAAAGGTAGATAGATTAGCATTTTAGCAATATGAATTAGTGGAAAAGTATTAGTGGAACATGAGTTCAGCCTAGCGTCAGAAGGGAGATGGAATGGAAGAGGTGGGGAAAGGAACCGACTCCGATGAGAGCTCCAACTACCGTTTTAATTTTTTTTTTTTTTAATTTTTTTTTTACAACTTTAAAATGGAAACTTCATCATTCATCAGAGTAACTGTTATTCGTGTGATGGTGTTGAGTGCGATAAAGAGTCTGGCCACATCATTGGCCTGGAAAAGACATGGTCCCAATGCCTATGTCCATTGGAAATCTTCGTTTCTTAACTATATTTGGCATCTACTATTGCAATTTTGATCCCAATGTTCCATCTTCACTCAGAAACCTAACTCAGCTCTTTTACCTTAACATTTCTTCATTTTATGGTCGCTTGTATTGGCCTGGAAAAGACATTTTCACAAAGACAGACCAATCGTTAGCATCTGATTATTCCAGGTCTTGGGTTGGAAAGCTAACCAAACTTGATCATTTGGGCCTTGCGCATACCAACTTAAAGGGAAAACTCCCATGTTTTCGTGCTAACTTGTCTCAACTTACAGAACTAGACTTGGGTTCTAATGAACAAACTGGTTAAATCCCATCTTGGGTTACAAGGAATTTGACCCAATTAACTGATATGGACCTTTCCCTTAACAAGTTGAGAGGATTAGTTGAATTTGATCAGCCTTCCAACCTCAAAAGTTTAAAGGCACTTCCAAGTTTCAACTTCTGTGGTTGTACAATCTTCACCTTTCTGACAACAATATTTATGGCCTAATACCAAAACGGTTTTGGATTGCATCTAGAGAATGTTGAATTTGGGTCTATCGAATAACTTCTTAACGGGCATCGAGTCATTTGACCAGAATCCACTCATTCTTCCATGGAAACATACGTTGTTTTTGGAATGACGTCCAACTTGTTACAAGGTTCACTGCCAATTCCACCCCAATCAATCATGACTTACGATGTTGCAAACAATGATTATAAAATTAATGATTGACGGAGATATTCCTCAACTATGTCCAAATAAAAATAGTTTGAGGATGGTAGATTTTTGGCCCGTTGCACTCAGTTGGAGGAATTACCAGCGTTAAAGGCTCTCATTTTGGGTCATATTGAATTTCATGGAATAATTGGGAAGCTTGCAACTAACAAGAGTTCCCCAACTTGTGCATCATTGATCCATCTCACAATGGTTTTTCCGGTATGTTGCCCTCTAACTACTTGGAGAACTGGAATTTCTTGAAATTTGTTAATGAAACCAATCAAACTTATTTTGAAGTCTCTTCGACCAACGCAACTAATGCCACTTATATCTATCAATACAAGATCAAAATTCTTGCCAAAGGGGTTGAGTTGAAATATTTGAAGACCCCTTATTTTCTGAGACTTATAGATCTATTAACACACCCTGATCCCGACATACGTCTAAGATCGACACGTGACATCACCACATTCCTATTTATCTATCACGTCTTGCCTCTGAGACAAGACCACAACACAATCAATCATTTAACCATGCAGTCATTTTCTTTTATTTTATGGCTACATCTAACTTTAGCGTTAGACTGCCTACGTACCCTAAGAAGGGATCAAGCCATTCGTAGTTCACCAATTCAATAAACTCCTATGACTACTGCAAGAAATTACTACATACATGTAATCAGAATAACTATTAAAAACTGTATGCTTTCTTTGTATAGCTTGTCTAGGCAAATGAGACATATACATATAGCTTCAGAACGTGAATCATCAACTTGATTTTGGTTTCAGTATAGGCATGCGTATGGATATTTATGTTTAATGGGACATCATTCTACCATTTAAGCAAACAACATGATACGTGTAAAGGCGAAGAACTTAATCGAATAGTAATCACACCACACTGGATCTGTCCTATTGATATCTATACCAGCCATGACATTACTAACCGATATACTTTAGATATAATTGTAATCAACTACTATAAGCATACCCCTTTCAAATCGTATACCAAAATACAAACCCAATAGTACATATGAAAGCAACAATATAACTATAATCTAATAATAACTAGCTGGACTAGTTATAGCAAATAAAATGGTTCGTTAGAACTAATCCAATTGGAGTATATAATGAAATTGAGTGTGGAAGATACGTATAATTTGATATATAGGCACATAAAACTAGCTGCCTACATTTTCTCTGTATAAGTAGTTATGTATTTAGCATATAATAGTTTGAAAACAACCACCTCACATAGAATCCAGTATATTTATAACTTCACTAAATTTGATAACATTTATTTGCATTAGTTAATCAAATAAGCATGCCAAACAAACCACAAGAACCTGACCCGCCATATGAAATTGGTCTTGAATTGAGAACATAGTTATATTCAACTAGAGAATAGGTATAATGTTTGATATCAAGGAACTAGTTCTCAGGCCATAGAATAACATGCAATCCCTAAACGATAACATTCGAATAATTATTCGTAACTAGTACACAAGCCAAACCATATCAATGATTCTTAATAATTAACATAGAAAACCAAACTGTTTATCCAAGTGCCTCAAAATAAAATATAAATTCCTAGCGGTCTTAAGCTCTTCATCCGCTGAAAGAACGAAATAAAGAACCACCAATAAATCAAAGACCAAAACCAAGAGTCATATACTGCTCTAGTAATAGCATTGTCCAATCAAGTATTTAGCATCAGCATCTGACAATGCCATGGAAAAATATAGAACCACTCAGTAGTTTTAGAACTCTAATTATCTACACAAACCTAGGCTACAACACATACAAATTCAGCAATGTTCTTCAAGGGTAGGACAAATATGGCACACAAAATATTCAAATATACCTGGCCTCGATTCTGGAATAACATTAATACTTATAAAACAAACCCAACTCTTACATTTCTAAAGAGAACCAAGTTAAGGTTAGGATTTCAAGGTTCTTCCCTAAATATGCAACCAATCCTTATTGCCCAGTTCGATTCAACTCCTAAATTATACAACGAGTATCATCTCAAATATTCATACAGAATACCAAATTCAAATTCAAATAAAAGAACTGATCCCAAAACTGAAAGTTAATACCTTGGGAAAAACTTACGCTATAGGAGAGCCCACGGGGAAAGAATCATTATTTTCACTTGGGTCGAGGCCAGGTTCCAGCGGGGTCGGCCGAAATCGGAGGAAAGTCGCCGGAAAACGTCCATATGTTTGGGCCTCGTTTTCTTTGTACACCCGTTTTCAAAGGGTGGGTATGGTATCAGATTGAAGACGGCTGTGATACGAAAGTATAGCTTCCAGCCTCGTGTGATTTCATTATCGGAAGTTATGTTGAAAATAGTTTGCAAAGGGTGAAGTGAGCAAAGGAGGAAGAAGAAGAAGAAAATGGCCTCTCCCCTTCGATTTTCCCTTCTTTCTTTTCTCGATGGTTGTCCACCCTTTCCCTCTTTCTTATTTTATTATTATTTTATTCTATCATTAATATTTTATATCCAGTGATATTATCCTTTTCCTCCATTTTGAATAAAATGATTGATACTTGTTTTTTAAAATCTTCCTGGTTCCAAGTTCTAATTTTCGCTACCATGTACTTAATCGTTTGTAATGACGAGTAATATACTAATTAATATCTCATACGTGTCCTGAATACTAAATAAATGAAAATTGACACATACCATCTAAGAGCATTTTGATCATTTAACATTTTTCAAAAAAATAAAATACAGTAAAATTATAGACGGATTGTAACATCTATCTATCAAGCAATAGACTTGAAGGAGAGATTCCAGCGGGTATCATTGGGAAATTAAGAGGCCTTCATTTGCTGAAGCTCTCCAACAACACTCTTAGTGGTCTCATAACCTTATCTCTTGGGAACTTGACAGCTCTTGAATCATTGAACTTAGTGGTCTCACAACCCAGCAACCCTTTCCGGCTCTCTCCTACCCCAACCTCCCCTGCTGCAAATTCTTCCTCTTCCTGTTGAATTCAAAGGACCTACAAAATACATCATTGAGCATACTGCAAAAATTAAAATTCAGAGATAAGAAATACAAAAGCTAACAAGGAATTTAATTGGAGAGGGCGGGGGCTGAAGAAGATTGAGAAGATGCAGGTGTGGTGGTGGTGGGTGCTTCCAAGTGAGGGAGAAAGAAAAGAGTCGAGGGAAGGAGAGAGAAAGAGGTGAAAATAATTTGGTCGTTGGATTTGTATCAACGGTTGATATTAATCGGTTAGGAGGATCCTCACGGAAATGATCCGGAGAGGATCTGAGTCCTACTGCCCCATACCTCTAGTCAGCCTAGGTGTAGGGTTGCTGCCTATTAGCCGCCCTGAACCATCATTTTAATATTATGTGGGCCGGCGCCTTCACCAAAGCAGCCACTAGCCCAAAACAAAGGATTTGCACAACTGGGCTTCCTTTGATTAAGCCCAAGATTAATCATCAACCCAATCACTTGCCAGAGGAGGACGCTAAAGGGTGGAGAGAGAGAGAGAGAGACACTGAGATTTGAAACCCATGCCTGCCTCATCTGATTAAGAAGTTGAGAAGTCGTTTTCAAATCTTTTGTGTTTACAAACTCTATTTATGTCATACAGCTTCAGATTCGAAATTGTAATTGTGGTCAGCAAGAATTCGAAAAATACTTGAGCCATGCAGATGTCTAACAAGTAGCCATGGATGCAGATGCATATGGCCTTTCCATGGTTGCTGCTGCAAAGAATCAAATGGAAAGTTAAAAAAATATTTTGTTCCTAACCTCAAGATCAAGTTTGATTGGCTTGGTCCAACGGATCCTGAGAGAATGATCCGGAGAGGATCTCACCCCATTTGTGAGGTTTACAGAGTCTGTTTTTTCAATTCTCCTGATACTGTGTTCGAACACAAACTCTTATTCTCTCTAATTTTTTACAGAGCAATCGAACATGCCAAGGTAGTGATTGAAGGTTTAAGAAGTAGAGGTGTTTCAGGATTAGTGTGCTGGAGGCTTCTGTTGGGCCGGTGAGTTCATTTCTTACGTCAAGGACCATTGTTTTTTGTTGGGATTCCTCTGTTTAGTTGCAAAAAGTTGATGTTGGTTTTTCGCCGAATCTGTCTTCTTGCTCATTTTTTTTCCTGAATGATTGTTATTTTTAATCTCTTTGCTTGCTTGAAAAGAGTCATAATCCAACCATTTGTTATTGTGTGTGCATCAATCAATTAATGGATAATAATCTGTCTTCTAAGTTTCTTAAACATTGCCTCGGAAATTAACATTCGCATCCACGTTTAATGTGGTTATATGGGATACATTGGCTCCACCTACAACCTCACGAGCTTCTACTCTCTCTCTCTCTCTCTCTCATATGCCCACCATAGTTATTAACTTTCCTGCTTACAACTAAATTGTCAAATGCTCTGAAATCATACTATATTTCAGAGCCTTAAACTCCATAGATCAAAATTCCAACATCACAAAAAAAAAAAATTCACACGTAAAGATGGAGGAAGGCTAAGAGAGGACAATTTGGGGCACACAAGGGATCTTTATATTTCCGCAAAAATACTTTGTGCTTTTTAGCTATAAATTATGAGTTTTCATGAATGTTTATGCTTTAATATAGCTGTTATAGGAGGACTTTTTTACTTACAAATTCGTCTCATCTTCTTGATATATGTTTTATTTTTCTAACTATTAGTTTTTGGTGTTTTGCAAGCTATTACCTATTACAAAATCTTTATTGTTTGGATAGGTTTGTGTTCCTCATTCTTTATATATACTTTTTTTCTCTCTTTTTATGAGGAGTAAAGTTTGCGTGTATTCCGACTAAGTGATTTGGTATTTGCCTTACCCTATTGTAATTTTGCATCTCTTTAGGAATAAGTATTTTAAAATCTGTTAGCTTGATTACATTGTTGAGGAGTAAAGTTTAGTGATGTCATTATTTTATGTAATTCCGTAGCTTGATTGCATTGTTGCCTTACCCTACTGTAATTTTATGTATATTCCAACTAAATGATTTGGTATATGCCTTACCTTACTGTTAACTTTTTATACACACTGCATACAGATACAATATACACTCACACACATCACATACACTTATCCGCACAGAGTACACACACTTACCTACACTTACACACACATTTTATATACATACACAGTACACACATATGCAGTGTCACACAAACACTGTCATGCACTTATACATACACAACACATACAATATATGTTGAATAAGAAGAGTATCCAAGATAACTCTAATGATCCCAAAAAGAAGAAAATAGAGCACACTCTTAAAGAAAGCTCACAAAACAAACTAATTAGCAAAGCTTTTCTTATTTAGCTCTAGGCTTTGTTTTTCCTTGGATGATATACAATGCTTGGGGACTTGGGTATTTATAGCAAACCAAATGAAAGCTACACCACACACTTACTTCACCTACAACATCCACCTACTTCACCTACAACCTCCACTTACTTCACCAACCTCACACACTTACTTCACCTACAACCTCCACTTACTTCACCAACCTCACACACTTACTTCACCTACAACATCCACCTACTTCACCTACAACCTCTACTTACTTCACCAACCTCACACACTTACTTCACCTACAAATGACATTAATTCTCAACAATATATACTCACGCTTATACCTTTTTTTATCACTTGGAAGATATTGTTGGTTTTCCTCGGCAATACAATATACACTCACACACTTATGCAGCACATTCACTCACACATGCAGTACACACATTGTTGTTTTTCCTTATTTGATTGTTGGGATGCCAAAGTTTAAGAATTTGTATTTAATTTGATTCTTTGGTATACTCAGTTAATTAGCTAAGAATTGGTTTACATTTAGATAATATATATATATATATATATATATATATATATGATTTTGGACTGTTTCTCTAACTGAATTTGTTTTGATTCGATGGGTTAGTGAGTTAAAACTACAAGTGGGTTTCTTTTGGTTTTTGGGATGTTCTTAACTTTCTGTTTCCTGATTGAATTTGTTTTGATTCAATTGGATTAGTGAGCTAAATTGCAAGGGGGGTTTGTTCTGGTTTTCGAATGGCTCTTATGGGTTGTGTATGAGGTTGGAGGATTTGAACTAAACCATGCAAAGGACATTCATAATAATGTGCAAGTAGGTATTACATATATAAGTTGCATGTGTTTAATGGTTTGCATTGCTTGCTGTTTCTGCGTAATGGTTGAATCTGTGCTTAGGTTGGTTTAAAACCCGGGTTGTGTGCGTTTATCGGTTTAATTGGGGGAATGAAAAAATAAAGTTGGCCTTTCATTGAAGATGTGACATCCCACATCGCCCAGGGGAGTGATCCTTATATGTATATTCTCATCCCTACCTAGCACAAGGCCTTTTGGGAGCTCAGTGGCTTCGGGTTCCGTTGGAACTCCGAAGTTAAGCGAGTAGCGCGCGAGAGCATTCCCAGGATGGGTGACCCATCGGGAAGTTCTCGTGTGAGTTCCCAGAAACAAAACCGTGAGGGCGTGGTCGGGGCCTAAAGCGGACAATATCATGCTACGGTGGTGGAGCGGGCCCGGGAAGTGATCCGTCTCGGACCGAAATGTGACAGAAGATGCTCAAACAATTGGAGTTTGTTTTATTAGAAAGATGGTTAAACATTCTGTTTTATTGGGAACATGCACACATAGAATTCATCTAAAGGAAGGTTTAGATTCTTTGAGGCTTTTTATCTGGAATTATGTCAATTTGGAATAAAGGAAAGAGATAAAACACAAACAAAGGAATTTGATTTGGGGGTTAATACTAAGATTGGGTCAATCAACATTTTATGTTTTCAAGTCGAAGTCATTCATTTTCGACAGTAAGTTTTCATTAGAATTGGGGAGAAATTCTGATGAACTACTTAATCTCACAAATTTGTAAAGCTAATCAAAAGTAGATTAACATTATATAATATGGTTTGAAACTCGGGTTTGAATCTGTGCTTAGGTTGGTTTGAAACTCAGGTTGTGTGAATTAGTTTATCTGTTTAATTGGGGGAATGAAAACGAATGAAACACAATGAGGGTTTAGAAAAGTGAAACCCTCAATGTGTTTCATTCATTTTCGACGAGAAGTTTTCATTGTGGAAAATTCTAATGAACTATTTAATTGTGAGAAATTCTAATGAACTACTTAATCTCTAGAAATTCTAATGAAATACTGAATCTCACAAATCTGTAAAGCTAACGGAAAGTAGTTTAACAGTAATGGAAACAGAGAATTTGAGAGATTCAATTTGTAAAGCTACTTTGAAAATGCGTTTTCTAGATTAATCCAATTGAAAATGCATTACGTAATTAGAACCCGCTGCAACACGTGGGCCATTTTTCTAGTGAGAGCAAAAACAAATATAATTAGGACTCAGTATAAATCAAATAAACAGCGAGGGGCGTGTGAAAATGTGAGGACAAAGTTCCACATTGGTAAAGGACCAAACTATGCAAGAGATTATATGAAGTTAAACTACTCCCTATATTATCAATTAATTTTAAAATAGAACCTCAACTTTCTTCGTATACATTCGAAGAGGTGCAGATTGATGGATTGCCCTTCCTACTTTGAAAATCCTTTTTCACTCGAAAAATTAAACTATTTACAAAAAGTAAAACAATGTACAAAAAGTAAACTTCAACCACCACGACTCCATTACATGAGAGCGAAAAACAAATATAATCAGGAAATAAACAGTCATGGCCCTAGGACGGGATCCTCGGGGTGTAACTTTTGTTTCTATTAGTTGTATTAATACCTTGCTTTTACTCAATGCTACTCATTGTTTTTAATTTATGCAGACACTTTCCAGTTCAGAGAGAGCTCCGCCTTGCTGGAATTCAGTGACCAACATAAAATAAAACAACTTATTCTTGGTTGGGTAGCCACATTCTCCGTGTGTGTGTATATATATATATATTGGTCAATGCATCAGCATCCCTCATATCTCTCACACTTGCCAAATTGGCTTTAAATTGATATTCATGGATTTCGAGATTGGATTGGGTAGAATATATACATTGCTTGGATCGATTATGTAATGTCAAGAATTGAAAGAAAAAAGAAGATTTTGAGCTTGAACCACAATCTGATATGCCAATGCCACTTAGACCTTAACAGCCAAATTACACCAGATGTCTTCGGTAGTTTCTCCAACAAGCAATATTTTACTTTAAAGTAATATAAATGGAGGAGAGAAGGATTTGAACTCAGTGTATATGAAGAGTATTTTATTTTATTTTATTTTATTTTATTTTATTTATGTGGAGATTATATCCGCTATAGTTCTGCAACATAAATGAAAATCCATACCAACATAACTCTTCTACTTCGTTATTCGTATCCTTTCAACTTCCCACTCTTTGTTAGATTCTTACTTCTAGGCAGTCGGTTTCTCTACCGGCAACGTACTACCACCACGGGGCTTATTTATTGATAACTATATCATTTTAAATCTGTGGAATTTTGTTAGAGATGAGAAATGAGTGATGAAGAGAGAAGTTGAGGAAGAAGGTGAGAAAATATTTTTACACTTCAAAGTTAAGTTTAGGATATGTCAATAATAAGGTCTAATAGTACTGTTCTTAATTATAAATGAGAGGTCTTAAGTTCGATTCTCATCAACAGCAGATTCGAACCAAATTATCGACTAGCCAAATGTGAGGTTTAGCCCACTCCCCCACTCTTTAGTGTAAATAATATCGAATATCTTAAAAAAAAAAGTTAGATTTAAAAAATGTAACTGGAAAATATTAAGTTATATACACCTTAAATTTTTTTGTTTGTTTGATGCATTCCCTTTCATTTGTCTTCCTTCCCTCCCTCACCTGAAAATATAACTGGAAGGTTAACTACCCTTCTAATACAAATGGTAGTAAACCTTGATCTATTTGACTTTTGCCCTTATTATACTATCTGCTTTCAACTTTTTAAAGTAACCTGGATATCACCTCAACCAAATGTAAACTAACTACTTGTCCCTTCACTTATTATTAACGTATCTTCACCGTACAAACATTATAATCGAAACCGTTTATTATCTTTATTATCAAAGATCCTACACACAACAAAATTATTCAATTTGGAAATCTTTTAACCATTCATATGCATAAAACAAATAAACAGTTCATCATGAAGATGCTACTTGTTACTAAAACCGTTGATTGGCTTTACATGAATGGATGACTAAAAAATCTCTGAATTGAAGAATTTTTTATAGATATGATTATGATAAAGAGAATGAACGATTCCGATTATAATGTTCATACTGTGGAGATACATTAATCGTAAGTGGAGGGACAAGTAAGTTCTCCAACGAGGCGAACACAAGCATTATCCTAAAAACTTTATGGCAACACCGGTGTCCCCCTTTGGGGGATGAGCTCATGCTCCCACTTACAAATAAGGTATCTGCTCCAAATTCACGAATTTGCGAATGTGTTCCCTCACGTAAAACATACATCCATTATCAAGATCAAATACAACTCACATATGTGAATTTACCAAAAAGATGCAACCGAATATTCCGAGAACGAATTAACTCCAAATTCTCCTCTGGGTAAGGCTCAGGATACAAATATCTGCTCCAAATATACGGGATTGAACAAACAGCAGACTAAAGATAAAGTACAACCCACACACAATGGCCTTGGAAGTGCGTGTAAAATCTTAGTTTAATGATTAATTTCCCAATCTACATATCTAGAAACTATCATAAACTTGACCCTTCTCATTGCTTAAAACAAAGATGAAACAGGGAACAAAAAAACCTCATCTCAAGAGCTTTCTCTTCATCATAAATAAATTTTGATAGCTTCCTCATCAAGTCTTTTATGTCGGCACCCGCTAGAGCATTGCTTATCTGTTAATATATATGAAATAATATGCCAGTCAAATACATGCTTTCGCAAAGATTATGTTGTGTTTGTGCAAATCTAAGTTTTCAAATAGGTTAATGCTGCTAAATATATCCCAGCATAAAGAAACCGACAAATACAACAGTTTGGCCAAATAATTATTGGTCTGAGCCATATGACATTGATGCTCCATCCAAAACTGTACCTAATACATGGCGGGTAAGAAGAAGATAGGGAATACATCCATGCGGCTAGCGGCCAAATTGATGCTTTCTGGTGGCTTAAGAGAAATCAGAACATAAGGACAGGACTAAATTGCCTTACCCACTATGAGGATCTTCAAGTTCCTTCTTCACCTCTTCAGGGAGATTGGCTAATCTAATAAACGAAACGAAGTCTCCCATGACCACTGCTATATCAAACTATCCTCCTAAATTATACGAATTGCAGTTAAAATGAACATAAAAATCCTCTTTAGAAGGTTATTGGAATTTCATACATGCAGCGTGTTATGTATGAATCGATTTATATAGAGAAGACAATTAAATTCATAATTTACAGAGAGGGGAGAAGATTACCAGAAAATTGAAGCATTTTCCTGAGAAACAAAGGGAGAGTGTTTGATAATTTGAAGAACAGAGAGCAAACAAATAAATACAAGGCTAGAAAATCCCCAAATCGATTAAAAAAACACACAAGACCATGCTGCCTAACCTAACCAAACAGTACAAAAAGATTTGTAAAATAATTTTGGCCTCTCAATCACCACATGCCAGCAGATATAAATGCAAGAAATAATAAAACATTGATTTTTTATCAGAATCCTGGACTCAGGAGGACCATGCTCGGGGCCTGTTCACCATCCCCACCCTTCCCTCTCTGTTTCTCTCCCCGAAATCATCACGACCCATTCTCTCTCTCTCTCTCACTGTCACCCTCCCAGTCACCGAATCAAACATTGGGGCACTAACATCCTAACCTCTCCCTCTCTCTTTCTCACTGTCAACCTCCCAGTCACATATGTATATGTGTTATATATCACAAACACGTGTTTTATTATTTTGCCTAAGAATATATTACAAAGGCACGGGTCATTTCGGAGACCCGCGGTAACATGTATTACATCTATGAATTGGGATATAGCAAGACAAAACAACACCACACTACATAAAGGATAACAAAATGCAACAGACTCAACCCCATAACAACTTAAACAACAACTAAACATGGAGATCAAATTTACAAGGACTAAAAAGCACTTTATCCCCTCCTCCTCCTCCTGCGTCTTGGCTGCCGCCTCCTGCTGAATTTCTCGACAAACCATTCACGCTTCTTGTTTGCCAGTGTATTCCCAGCAACCACCCCAACTATTAGACCACTGACAACTCCTGGCAGAACCACATACCAATCTAGTCCAATTTCGAACCCAGAGTCTTCATCTTCTTCCACGGCTGATGGTGGTGGCGGCGCTTCACATTTCCTTGACAAAGGCTTTCCACACAAACCCGAGTTTCCTTCGTATGAATCGTTTTCGAATGTGTCAAATTGTTTGCCAACTGGTATTGGGCCCCAAAGAAGATTATGGGACACATCCCAACATGCAAGGAAATTGAGTTGCGCCAGATTACTGGGGATCCTTCCTGAGAGCTGGTTGTGGGAGAGATCTAATGACTCGAGCATATTCAAGTTCCCCAACGATGAGGGGATTTGACCGGTGAGAGCGTTATTCGAAAGGTTAAGCAAAACAAGGCCTCTTAGATTCCCAATAACACCTGCTGGAATCTCTCCGTCAAATTTATTACCCGATAGATCTATGAGTTTGAGAAGATTTGGGGTCTCTTCATATTTCAGCACAACACCTTTGGCAAAGATTGTGAGCGAGAATGCATCTCTAAAGCGGGTTACAAATCCTTGTGAGTCGATTAAGGACAAGGTCTCAAAGTACGTGTGCTTGCTTTTGCCAACAAATTTCATGGAATTCCAGTTCTCAAAGTAGTTTGAGGGCAATATACCAGAAAAGTCGTTGTTAAACAAATCGATTATGCAGAGCTTGGGGAACTCATGGGTTGTTGCAGGGTTACCAATCACGCCATGAAATCCATTAGACCGCAAAATGAGAGCCCATAAGACTGGAAGTGCCCCCAACCAAGATGGGAAGATGTCGCTGATGTGATTGTTTGCAATGTTGAGAAGCACCAACTGAGTGCAATTGGCAATTGATCTTGGTAGCTTTCCCCCTAACTGGTTATAACTTAAATCAACCGATTCCAAACTACTATTTACAGTTGAACATAACGAAGGAAGACCACCGTGAAAACAATTGTTCCCCAGACTCAGTTGTCCAAGATTACTGGAGTTCCCCAAACACTGCGGAAGCTTGCCACTCAAGTTATTGTTGGACAAATCAAGAGTATGCAGATCATTCAAGTTGCAGAATGACGGTGATACTTCTCCACTATAACAATTGTCTGCAACATCATAAATTATGATGGATTGTGGCGGAATTGGCAGTGATCCTTGTAACTTGTTAAGGCGGAGAAATAAGTACAACAGATTCTGCCACGGAAAAGTGCCTGGATCTTGCTCAAACCCTGTTAAAGAGTTGTAAGCAAGATTGAGATTCAACATTGTTTCTCTAGTTGCATTCCACAACCACTTCGGTATTTGGCCCCGAATGTTGTTGTTGGAAAGGTAGAGGGTGGTCAACTCGTATTGATCATGTAAAAATCCTGGAAACTCGGTCAAGTTGCACGAATCCAGCCTTAGACTCTGAAGCTTAGGAAAAGCAGCGGTCATATTGGTTTTGAAATTCAGAGATAACTTGTTAAATGATAAACGTAGATCCTCTAAAAATTTGAGCTTAGAAAGTTGATCAACTTCAACCAATCCACTCAAGTTGTTATCGGAAAGGTCAAGGAATTGAAGATCTCGTAATCGGAAGAACGATTGAGGAATTTCTCCATGTAATTTGTTATATCTGAGGTCTAGATGGCTTAGTTGGGACAAGTTCATGAGCCAAGAAGGGATTGGACCAGTCATTTCATTGTGCCCCAAGTTTAGGTATGCGAGTTGGGTCAAGTTAGCCAGAAAAGCTGGGAAGTCTCCCCTTCTAGCATAACAAAGGCCCAAGTGGGAAAGGTTTGTTAGCTTTCCAACCCAAAACCAGGGATAAGAAGGTAATTGACTTGTGGAAAAGTTTTCGTGAGAGTCGTAAAATGCGGAAATGTCAAGGTAACTGAGTTGGGTAAGGTTTTTGAGTGAGGATGGAAGACTAGGATAAAAGGTACAGTATGAGAGTTCTAGCACATTTAAGGAATGAAGGTTTCCGATAGAAGAGGGCAATTGACCATAGAAATTCGTGTTCGAAACATCCAATGTCTTGAAGGAATTGGTCTTGTTGAAGTTAGGAAAATAACCGGTTAGGTTCAAATTGTCGGACAGAAGAAGAACTTGTAAGCTTGGTAGGTGGAAAACACCAACTGGGAATTCCCCATACAACCCACATTGAGCGAGTCTGAGGGATATGAGAGAAGATGCATTGACCAAAACATCAGGCAGAGTGGAATATATGTCTACCAAATCAAGATGAAGTTGTTCAATGTTCTTGGTCACATTTTGAACTAGGCTTATCAAGTTGGTCTTGGTCAGTTTCAAAATGTTTTTACGGTTGGGAAACTTCTGACTGGTTGACAGAGCAAGGGTTGAGAGCTTGGATAGCATTGAAATTTCTGATGGAATTTCGCCAGAAAAAAAAGACTTTGAAAGGTTGAGATACGTTAGGCTCGCAAGATCATGCCCCAATCTTGATGGTATTTGGGAAAAATTGAAGTTGTTATCTGAGAGGTCAAGACTCTGCAAGTGAACAAGTTGAAAGAGGCTGCTGCTGGAGTTGATAGAACCATAGAGACAGCTACTTCTTAGGTCAAGGCCAATAACATGGCCAGAGACCTCATCACACTCGACACCATCCCACGAACAACAGTCACTTGTCTGATTCTGAGCATCTCCTTCTGGTGTCCAAGATGCAACCTTTGGATAAGCAGAAGGAAGTGCAGAAGCTGACTCGTCTATCGTGAAGCTGTCGTTGAATTGCAACAAGGCAGAGCGCTCATCGTCGTGACAAATTGTCTGCGTCTGCACAGAGAGAGAAAATTGAGTAGCAATGATTAATAGCAAAGTAAAACAACGTACAGAAATGAACTTCGATCGGCGCGATTCCATTCCCATGACAACTTATGTTTTCTGTTATGGAAGTGTTTATGGCTTTCGCATAATTACGGATGCAGAAATCAACGTCCTTTTATAGACCAAGCCCATTCCCATTTCTCCTTATTGTAAATAATATCGTTTGTTCAAAAAGAAAAAATAAAAAATAAAAAACAACTGATTGAATCACATTATTGCTAGCTCATTGTGAGGTTAAGTCAGGGTCCTCTCTACCTTAATGTATAATATCATTTGTTCAAAAAAAAAAAAAATCATTTGACAACTAATTTAATTACATTATTATCCGCGTACGAAAGACATTTTTTTATAACTGGCATTACAGCCTCTTAAGATGCAAATTGCATTATCCCAACTTGGAACCTACCACTCTTGTTCCTTAAAGACTTAAAAAGTAAACTGTATGACTTTTTCACTATTTTAGGTTATGTGTCAATGAGTACCCCACCATTTAGACAACCATTTTTTCTAATTATTACATTTTTTATGTTAATTTGAAATGAATGTCTCACTCCATAACTTCAAGACCGTTCTTCAAATCAACGTAATACATCAATCAGGATCCTCATATATATAAATAGTTGATTTTTCAAACTTGTTGAAATTTGATTAGTTCAACTTTCTCATCTTTTGAAATTTCTATGGAAGAATAATCCTTTGGATGCCAAAAATCTTTTGGTATAGCTAACTGATATGACAATCTTCATTCCTAACTTATATTGTATGCGTGTTGACTGTTAGGTATCCCATATCTATGAAGTTTCTTGATTAGGAAAACTAATGAAAAGGGTTTAAAAACTTTGAGTTTTAATCAAAATGACAAAAGGGTGTTGTGAGTGAATAGTACCAGGAGTGAATTTTAGAGTAAAATTGTCATTTTTTGTTAAAGAGTGTTTCATTTAAACTCCCTTCTTGATTCACCAAGCACCCACGCACATCCAACTACAACCAAACTATTGTGTTTAGTTTATGATTCACTAGTCTTCATGCACATGCTCACGAGCGTGCATAATGCATTTTTGAATCACAGCATGCTACGCATGACTTACATGTTTTAAATGTATTTATATGCGTAAATTGACAAAAGAAAAGTCAAATATTTGAAGTAAATGAATAATCTTAGATCATGCTAGAAGAAACCCCTCATAAATCAATTAAAGCAGCTGAATCCACATAATAAAATCGATCTCCATTGAATTTATATTAAGAATAGAGAAAATAATATTTAATAAACAACTGATTGAATCACATTATTGCTAGCACATTGTGGGGCTAAGCCCACCCCCCTCTCCCTTAGTGTAGATAATATCGTTTGTTCAAAAATAATAATAATTTGACAACTAATTTAATTACATTATTATTCGCATGCAAAAGACTTTTTTTATAACCAACATTACAACCTTTTAAGATGTTTTGAACGTATTTAAAAATAAGAAAATAATATTTAATAAACAACTGATTGAATCACATTATTGCTAGCCTATTATGAGGTACTAATTATTTGGAAAAAAAAAAAAAAAACTGTCCAAAAGAATATTAATTATTAAATAACATTGTTAAAATGACGAAAATACTCCTACCACATTTGATGCATTATTTTGGAGGCATTTTTGTCCACTTATTTTTAGTGAAGCTTGTGACCCCTAAAACAGTATTCACTTTAGGCTTGGCTTTTTATTTAGAGATGAAATTGAAATTTGAATACAAGAAAGCAAACGTGTCCTTAACAAACTTGGAAATAAAATAACCCACATCTCCATCCTCATTGCAGAAGGAGAGTCCAATGGAAAAAGTTGCTTAGCTTCCTGAAACCCTTTTCCTTGAGTTTGGTTGTGCCATTTGATTATTATTTTTATTTAGGTAAGAAATTAACTTAGCTCCTCAATAGATGAGATTAAGGAGGAGTTTCTTCTCAACATACTTTGTTACTGATTTACAAAACTTCGTTCACCTGGTGAAAACCGTTCATATTATAAATCACATTATAAAGATTTTATAGTTTATTATTATTATTATTTTGTAGTTATGACCTTTATAATATGATTTACCTTATACACGATTTCGATTATATGCATGAAGTTTTGTAAATCGGTATAACAAAGCATATGAAGGAATTACTCCTCCTCAATCTTAAGGAGTCAAGCTTTCCTCTTTAATGTGATTCAAATGCCATACATAAAACATGTGGATACCACCAAAAAGAAAATTTGAAATTTTAAAGGGCAATAACAATTCTCTGTTAATAATCCTATTTATCATTTCTCCGACAAAAATTAATCAAAATCATTCATTACTCCGGCAAATGTCCAACCCTCCCCCCAAACCTCAAAGCAATCCCAAATGGTTCACCACTCTCAAAAGACCAATTTTATTTTCTTTCTTCCGGTTTAGGGATGACAATGGTTCGATTTGGGAACGAAAATGTTATATCCATCCCCATAACTATTATATATAATTTTCTTTCTCACATAGTGCAACTATTATATATAATTATATATATATATATATATACACTATTATATTATATATAATTCGGTTCGGATTCAGGGAATGATATGGATTGGAGACCTCTATAACCATATCCAAAACAATAACCGAATATTTTTCACAGTTTTTCCCATATCCAAAATATCCCCGAACTTTCATATCCAAATCCAATTCATTTGAACGATTATCCACGGTTATCTATTTAAACTTTCAGAAGGGATGGTTAAATTTTGTCACCTTTGTTAATGTAACCATGACAGGGATCTTAGATGTGTCAAAGTGCAGAAATTCCTCGTCACTTACATCAACCTCTGGTAGCTCATCGCCTGATGCACCAGCTGCAACATTTACTCTTGGGATGCCTGTATATGCCCGTATCGCTCAAAGCAGCCTTTGGGAACATCAGTTTCTTTTCCTTTCATTTTTTCAGGAAACAACAATTAAGTGCACTTTAACTCTTGTTCCTTGCTAGTCACACTAAATTTAATGTGTAAAAATTAAGATAGACAATGAAATTATGAAGACACTTTAGAGCCTTTGGGAACATCACAAGATACGAATCGTTATAAAGACTGGTTTGCAAGAGCACTAAGCTCAAACTAGGAAATATCAGGATAGACTAATTTATTTATGTTCAATGACATTATATAAGTAATGTATAAAGAAAATCAAGTACCTTTATAGCAGCACCTAGGGCATCTAGAAGATTCCCATCTGAACTGACAACAAGGCCGTCAATGTAAAGATCCCAACAGATCTTTCCTTCCACAACTACCAGAGAGGAGAGATCAATTCCAGCACCTGAGACAAACAAAGGCACCTACATTTTCAACTCTGCAGTTGGATTAAAATACGCTCAACCGAGAATCCATTGCCAAAAGAGAAAACAGACCAGATCCACTTTTACCACCCAACAGGCAACGTCGAAGAGCCACAGAGAGTTCTGCTGACAGCTCCTCACCCCCTCTACCCTGCAGAAGTAAAAAAACAACAGCTTTACAATAAGTATAAATGCATGTAAAAGTAAGTATGCGCTTAACATCAAGACCGTGGTTATACCTTCACATTGGCAATGACATCTGCAGCACCCAACCTGACCCTTGCCAAACCATTTGCCTGGGCAACGGCCACAAAGAACGGAAATTATAACAAAATAAGTAAAATTTCATGTCACACCAAAAAATAAAATCCATTATTTTTAGTGAAACATATGACATATATTAACCTGGGAAATAACTCCAGTTTTCACACTGATGGGCCGAGGAGTCAATCTTTTTCGGCCATCAGAACGAATGTCCTGAGTAATGCCACCCTATATAAAATGCTTTTCTCCTATGGATAATCCCACCATTTCTGAACATATGATATGAAAATACATTTCTGATCTAATTAACTTCATAAATATCAAGGAGATGCTTTCAATATAGCTTGGACTATTAATTAAGCATGCATTTGCGGACTTTATGGTTTTTAAACAGAACAATTTGGCTTTTCCACTTATTTTTCCAGACTGGAATGTAGATGAAGAGATGCTACTGCTCGAGGTATTGAAAAAACTGATTTCTTGTTTCAATTATTATGATAAACTTATTTTTTTTCTCCTGTGCAACTAATAAATTTTGTCTACTATCACTTGTTCTTTGATGTTGCTGTTTATGGTATTGAAATGTATGGATTTGGGAGTTGGACTGAAGTTTCTGAACATGTTGGAACGAAAACCAGACAACAATGTATTGATCATTACAAAGCTATATATATGAACTCTCCATACTTTCCTCTCCCAGTAAGACCAGTGTTCTAATTAATGCATGTCCACACGCCACACGTGATATACACACACGAATTATATAAAAAGCAAAAATTATTACTAATAGTTTTCATGATATCCCCTTAGGACATGTCTCATGTTATGGGAAAGAGCAGAGAGAAGCTTCTTGCTTTTGCTAAGGGGTCTGATGAAATCAAGAAAGGTTAGTTCGCGTTGAGTCCATATTAGCTGAGGCCTGAAAGCAGTTATGCTTTGGTGTATGATTTATGATTTAAGATGCATCAATAGTTTAAGATCTTTTGTTAGGTAATTTATATTCAAAGGATCCACGAATTGTTTTCGAATGCCCTGTTTCATCTGTTTGTCATGGATAGTGAAGTCATTTGAATTAATTAGAATGTCTGTCTCATCTGTTTCTCCTTTCTCTGCAGAATTTCCCATGCTTGTGGAGATTACATTGAAAGAAGTGTCTGCCTTTTCTGCAGGAATCATGTATGGTATTTTTTATTATATTTTGTACCTACGTTGGTATCAAGCGCTTGTTCCATATCTTCTTGTCTAATTTTGTTTCTTAATTTTCTTAGTCAGATGTGAAGAATCAAAGAAGAATCCAACTTCCAAATCATCGTCGCAGTCAACTGCTGGTACACCAACCAACATTCTTGAGGCAGTTTTTAGCTCTTGGGCAATCTCATTTTTGTCGTATGTGGTTACGCATGACTGGAAATGTCTGATCTTCTGTTTTGCATCAGATGTTGCCAAAGGGTTGGTCCCAGGTGCTGTAAAGAAGGCATCCAATAAAAAGCAGATTAAGGACAAGACCAAAGTCGGTAAAGTGGAAGGTATGATTTTATGGTTACTTTCTGTTTCACAATTATTGCATTTGTAAACATACGCATATCTACTTCTACATGTCTTTAGAATTTCAGTGACTGACTTTCTTTAAGCATTGGTAATGTATCTCCGTGAACTTTATTGCCCAGAAGTTTTTTCCCCACAGATTATTTGTTGTCACTTAAATATTCATTTTATACATGATATATATTTACATACTTATGTATTATTTATCATGTATTTGGTTTAAAGCTTAATTTTATGTTATGTTATCAGCAGAAACTCAGGTTGACCGAAGCGTTGGAGAAAAAAAACTAAGGAGTTTAGTGGAAGAGGGACCTTCTGTGACAGAATTAAGCGGCTATAATTTCAAGACGCAAGAGTTTGAAATGAGTATGACAATGATGCTGAGCAGATTCTGGCAGATATGGAATTCAAGGATACTGACACTAATGCTGACCGTGAATTGAAACTACGAGTTTTGCATGTCTACGCCAAACGGTATTATATGGCTACTATGATAGATTAACGCTGATGGGTCTATTTTCAAAATCATAGCAATTATGAAGAGGGGAACAGTTTAAAATTTTAACAAAATGAAGTGATTATTTTCGTTACGTTCAGAAAATTTATACAGAACTTTATTTCTTTGTCATAATTATTGCAAATGCTAGGCAGAATGTCACAAAAACTTTCATACAAGTAATACTGTTATCTCATCACTAAAACGAGTTAGCCTTGCTGCCTGATGCACCAGCTGCAACATTTACTCTTGGAATGCCTGTTTCGCTCAAAGCAGCCTTTGGGAACATCAGTTTCTTTTCCTTTCGTTTTTTCACTTTAGTTGGAAACAACAATTAAGTGCACTTTAACTCAATTTGTCGAGAAATTTTTTTTTGTATCCGTAACACAAGTGATATATCACGTGTTATTATATAAGTGGTAAAAAATTTAATTTTTATGTTATTAATTTTTCATACAAAAAATCTTACTATTTGTATACAAACACATGATGAATTATCTTGTGTTCTAAGCATATTGAAAAAAATTTCCAATTTGTTGACCCACCGTTTCTCTAGATACTTCCCAGTTCCCACATCGTTTTTCTCACCGCTAAAACCCTCACAGCGCTGCTTGCCTCCACTCTCCCCGTCTTCCTCCTCGCCTCATCTGCTAAAATCTTTTCGATTCAAACATTTGACCGAACACTAACTTTTGAAAATCGTTATAAGCGTTAAAAAAAGTATCATTTTGCACTCTTTTTTCTTTATTTTTCACTAAAGCCTCGTTGTCTAGGATCGAATTGAAACATGTAACTCTTGAAGGTAGAATATAGATTACTCATTAAAGAAACTTATCAATTTCAATCACTCTGCTCAAAAAATGGGAGAATTAGTGCCATGCCCTGATCTTGAGAATCCTCTAGAAACATGCTAACATTTGGAACATCAAAACATGATGGCAAAATCAATAAACAAGGCACCACTAAGTCCACATTAGATAGTCAGCGGAAAGATAGTTTTTAATAAATACTAGTTCACTGTTTAAAACTGAAAACAATTACCAATTAAATTTCCTTTATTCAATCCTTCAAAAGAAATCTGAAAATTGAAAACTAAAAATCAAAGAGAAATGTTGTAAACACTCTAGTTTTCTAACCATACACACATCTGTTTAATCCTAGTCGTTGTTTTTGTTTCATCTTTTCAATGCACTGATTAGATATAATGACGTGTGTGTAATAGGAGAGACAAGTGTGTGGTTATTATTTCCCAAAAGGGTTGGACAATAAATTGGTATGAATTTGTTATTCATGAAATTGGAGTCTGAAATCTCTCATTTACAATTAAAGAGTAATATCACTAAACCGCAGTACTAAATAACTTCATTTCTCAAAATTAAAAACTAAAAATTTAGGTCATCAAAAGGACTCTTATTTTTTCGGATTATGATGTATTCTTTTGCTTTTATTTATTTTTATGTCCGAATTAAATATGCTTAGGATCTCACATAATTAAAGGTGGAGAAATCGACGTCCCTTTTTTTGTAGACAGTATATACAAAATTGTTTCTTTCAATGAGATACGGGAGCTATAGACTACAAAAGAATCCAAAAAAATAGTGATCCTAAACATACACGAAGTCAAGACGGTGGAGAAATGGGTGGTGATCGTGAACATAATAATTTGCTCAGACCATCGCTTTAAGACTTGAAGTCAAGTCATCGTTTGATAAAATCAGCCCATCCCCATCACTTGAAGACTAGAAGTCATTCATCGTTTGCATGTAATAATTTACAAACTCGATGGTTTAGTTTTATCTGTATGTTTGTTTGATCTTAAAGAATGTGAACATAATACTTTGAGCAGATAAAATCACTTGAAGACTTGAAGTCAAGTCGTTATTTGCATATGTGACTCATCTCAACGCTTATTTATCTTTTTAATACAAGTCCTAATTCAGTATATATATATATACACACACACACACACACACACACACTCCATACCTCAATTTATTTATCGTTATACTTACTTATCTCATGTTAATTACATGAGTTGAAGTTCTTCCATGTTGTAGGATTTACAATATATACACACAATTTATTCAATAGTACGTGAATATTAATTAATTTAGCCTTCAATTTAGGTTTAGTATTTTATTTTCTCGAGCTTTGCACACATAACAATCAATTAATTGTCACTCCTACTAATAAAAATGTCACTGAGGCTCCTATCATTTTCATAAACAAAGTGACTTTTGTTCCACTAATCACGGGCATGAGGTCTCATGAACCAGATTATAAGCCACTGATCATCAACATAAACGTTCTTGTGAAGCTAACCATGCATTCAAAGTTACAGGCCGACAAATCGATGGAAGTCTTTCGGAGCTAGCTAATATCCTATTCAGCACTTACACATATTTTTGGGTGTGCACAATATTAATTATATATTGCAAGATTTAACATGATTAATTTTATAGATAAAGTTTAAAAAAAGGAACATTTTGGATGCGGTTCCTAGCAATATTCTTTGATTGAAACCTTGTGTGTTTTTAGTTTTTGATCGAAGTTCCTGACATTAATGTAATAGTGTAGGTTACTATATTTTTTTAATTAAAAATTTAAATTTGTATTTGTTTATATCAATGAGATTTTAAATAAAATTCATAATTTGTGGGATTAAAAATAATAAAATATAAATTATACTCTCTCTCTTATATATTGTGTGTGTGTGTGTGTGTATGGGTACATTTATCAAAATTAACAACAAAAAAATTATTGTACCAAAACATGAGTACATTCTTCAAAATACAGAAAGAAGAAGATATTAGGCTTAATAACATTAGTACATTTCTTCGATTAAACTTGACATGGATACATTCTTAAATCAACGAAAAAGAATGTACCCATATAAGTTTAAAAATGGATTAAAAAATTTTGAATAGATTTTATATTAAAAATTGGGTACATTTTATAGAAATTTTTTTGTACATTTTATATTAAAAAAGGGTACATCTTACATATAACAAATTGGTATATTTAAGAATGGGTACATTTAAGATTAAAAAAATTGAAAATTATGTGAATGGGTACATTTAAGATTAAAAAATTGTTGGCATAAGAGTCATCTTCAACGAAAATTTTAATTTTATAGCTTAGGGTCTAATGTTTTTATTTTTCTTTAAAGATCAACATTATTTGTAACCACTCACCTAGCTTTAAGCTTATCGAAAGAAAGCAATGCGGAATGGAGTTCAGTTCCTGTTCCTCCCCGTTGATCCTTCTCAGCCCTTCGAAGCTCAATAACCAGAAGTGTGGCAAGAGCAAACAACACAGCCTTGATAGGAGCATATTCATGCGACTTAAAAGGTTTGTTCTCGTGCATTTACGTTATGTTTCTCTAGTTATTTTAGTCCTTTATGCTTCTTTTGTGTGTTTTCAGGTTCTAAGGGCAAGGTATGCAAAATGATGCCTTTTGGAGCATTTTGGAGCAAAATCGGACTTGGATTGGATAGCTTATATTTGGAGCAAAAGGAATGGACGAAATTAAAGACCAAACTATCATAACCACCTATCATTACTTATCATCACTTAACATATCATTCATTTATCACTTAACATATCATTCATTTATCACTTAGCATATCATTCATTTATCAATTATCAAACCATTCACTTATCACTCACCACATATCATTCATTTATTACTTAACATATCATTCATTTATCATATCATTCATTTATCACCACATATCATTCATTTATCACTTATCATAACCATACACTTATCACTTATCATACTCATAATCATCTACACATTTCAACCATTTAAAACATTCCACATGCTTTCACAACTTAATTCACATGCACATTCATCCACCTTTCTCCAAAGAACATCTCACATGCATTTCCACCTTCCTACTTCATCATTTCACCACCTTCTCCATCTTTATTCCACATGCATTTATCATAATTCACCCTAGCTACCACCATTCACACACACATGCACTTATTCTTTCATCATTGAACCACCAATTCAACACATGCATTCACACACCCTTTAATCATCCCCCCTTTAAGTTATGATTTTATTTCCTAACCCTACATGCATTATTTATTAACTCTTCATCATGCATCCACATTCATTCCAACACAAAACACACACATGCACTTATTCTTTCATCATTGCACCACCAATTCACCCACATGCATTTCCAACCATTCACACCCCTTTAATCATTCTCCTAGCTATCATTCACATGCTCTCCCATCCATTCTCTCCCTATATAAACCACACACACTTCATTCATTTGCATCATTCAATTCATCCCACACTTCCATTCATTCACTTAACATCTCATTCACAACACAACACTCCACAAACACATCCATTCTTTCTCTCTAGCCGTGAGTTTCTCTCCCTTAGAATCCAAAAACCATCTTCCATTTCCATCACTCCCCACTCCATTCCACACTTCCATCCCCCAACCAACTATCCCTAGACCTTATGCTACAATAAAGAGGAAGATAAGAGGGCCTAAACGTTCATACAATTCAAGTTTGAGTTGTTGGAATGTTTAGGTGTTTCTTTGATTTCAATGTTTAAATTCAATTCTCTTTGTTTTGTACGGAAGAGAAGAGTGCCTAACGTTCATACAATTCAAGTTGAGTTGTTGGAATGTTTAGGTGTTTCTTTGATTTCAAAGTTATGAGGAACTAAACCCCCTTTAGCTAAGGGGTGATTCGAAACTATGTTTATGTTTGCAATATGAATTGATTAACTTTCGTTGGAATTTCATAAGTTGTGGATTCAATTTGTTTAACCGTTTGATTGATAACTTATTTATGTATGTTTATTGAGAATGCGCGCTTAATTTTCATGCATGAATATGACGCTAGAATATAAGTGAGTTTCACCTAATCGTTATGAACTTATATTCACAAGTAGTGGAGGTTGCTTATAAACAATCGCGTTAAATAAATTCTTGGCATAAGTTTCATGCAATCATAGTAACGAATGCCTCGTCAACATTTATAGTTTTCATTGAACGTAATGATCTTTGATTGTATCTTTATTATGATGTCATGTAAGGAACTTTTGAAGAATGCTTTGGGTTGTCGTATGATGTCATCCAATTCATTAACTTAAGGAAAACTTGACGGTTAATTTAAGCGGACCTAATTAACCCGGGGTGTTGAGAAATCATAATTTATCGAAAGACCAACTGAGAATCAATCTTGTATGCAAGTGTAACATGTGTGGAGAAGAACCCCTTGGCTATTCCATCATCCATATTTTCATCTCATTCATATTTACGT